TTTACCAATTTATCATGATTTTGACGTAAAATTATAACTAATCGCGATTTTTCTGCTGTGATTCTGTGACAACAAGCAAAAAAATAGCTGTTTAATCGCCGATTAGCAAACTTTCGTTTTTCGAATAAACGAAGACTTTATATCCTTGAGAAGTTGATTTGTTTTATAAAGATATCAGAAATGGACGAATATCCGAAATACGGATATTTAGATTAAGTGCAAAATATCTTTTAAACGTATAAAGGTTTTTATGCCTTTCCTATAAGGGGTGAACAGTTAATTTTTCGATTTTCACCAACTTTCAATGATTTTTCCGATTTTCGATTTAAACCGTTTTAATCGAAAATCCCTAAGAAACGGAAAAAATCATTGAACGTTCGTGAAAATTGAAAAATTAGCTGTTTTTCCCTTGCTTTTCTGACCGTTATGGACAAAACTTAAAGAAGGATGGGCAAAGATGGTGCGTATAATGAGAGTAACCACTTGATAGTCTTTATAAAGGCAAGAAAAGTCAATAATAGTATATATAAGAAGTTACCGTTAGAGTTCTTTTAGGTTCCCGTTACATATTCCTGATTTTGGTTTTCGATCAGTCCTCTAGAATATGAAATAAAAGTCTAATTCACTTTCAACTTGAAGATAGAGAGTCGAATCCTATAGCCACACTCAAACCCAAATCTTTAAAAGACTTTCAGGCAGTATAGATATCTTATCGTTTATTTTACAAAAGTAGCATTTAGTATTTTCTGTTTGTATTGTGAAGAGAGGAACGTGCAGAGTCCCAAAACATCTCATTTTGTAAAGAAATGTTTGATTTACAATTCTAGATACTCTGAAGCTCCGCACGTGCTTTCATTAAAAAGGCATAAACAGAACAAAATGTGAAAATTTCAAAAAAAAATGTCACCTCGGTAGCAGAGTTAGCTGATCGTGTAAAACCTCCAGCGCTGGACTTTCGAGCATTTTTTACCGAATATTATACGGATATCAAAACAGATTGGGTACTAAAATAAATCCATACTGTCACTTTACAATAAACATGGTAAAAATAAATTTCTGTTCTTTAGTCGCTGATATATTATGCAGTTTTATCTGTCACGTTTGTACAAGACTTGAAAAATATAATAAGCGAGAAACATCGATTTTATCTATGTCATGTTTACTTGAGATTATCAATTGGAGGATGATAACAGTTTGTCTTGAGCTGTTTTTAAATATCCAATAAATCTTAATACTTTCGGATGACACTCATCATTATCATACATTTTTTTCACAAAGTCTAAAGCATTTTGATAGTATTGAATTGATGTTTGATAATCGTTTTTTTTCATATGAACATCTCCAAGTCTGTAATATGTGTTTGCTATTATATCGTCTTTTGTTGACGAGGTAGAATTAAATAGATATTCTAAACATATTTGAAAATATTTAATACTCTTATCGTAATTATTTTTATGTTCATAAACTGAAGCGATATTAAAAGTGCAAATGGCTACTGCACAATAATTTATTGGTTCTATTTTTAAATATGAGTCAATTGCTAGATGATAATTACCAATTGCTCGGAACTCATCATTTTTATCGTTATATATAACTCCAAGGTTATTGTAACAGGAAGCAATCTGTTTAGCGTATGATGCATAATGAGAAAAATTTAAAGCTTTTATAAAATAATCTAATGCACAATCAAGTTCACCCAGCGAACGGTAAATTTCTCCCAAACGTGTATACGAATGAATAACTTGGGATTGACCATCCAACTTATTTTCCATAAGAACAGTATATTTTTGGTAATAATCAATTGCTGTTTTATATTGTTCATGATTGTCGTACGACATGGCCATATAATAAATTACATCTTGAAATGAGATGAGTACTGTCGAATTTGACACAGGCAATTGTCCAAGAATATCAGCTGCTCTTTTGAAATGAAATATAGCATGCCTATATCTATCTATGTTAAAACAATGTACACCCCGATATTGTAATAAGCAGATGCAGCTTGTATGCGATAAAATCCTGTATTGATGTTTTCGCATGTTTGTTTTGCTGTTTTGGAAAACTGCAATATCTTGTATACATTGTCATTTTCACAATAGATTACACCTAGAGTAGGGAAAATTTTTCCAGTTTCAAACCATTCAAAAGTAGTTTTTGATTTCTGTTGTAATTCTCCTGATCCGTTATTGTGCTGAGTTAGTTCAAAGTTTTTTTTCATCACTTTTAACGAGCTCTTTGTACGGAGAAGTATTGGGTAGTCTGAAGCATTAGATATTCGTTGTGCTTTTTTATACATTCTTCCGCTATGTCATACTTATTTAGACAACCGTACACCATTGCAAATGAATTATAGAGCAAAGTGAAATGTTGATGATTTGGATCAAAATACATTGTTTGAAGTTCCAACGCCTTTTCATACTGTATTAACGCTTGATTTAATTCAAACTGCTTCGTATAAACATCACCAAGACTTCGATAAGTTGTTGCTACAGACGACAGATCAGATCTTTCACAATCCAAAGCAAGTTTATAATAATATACAGTCTTTAAATAATCATCTGTTCCGTAATAAACGTTAGCTAAATTGTGATAAAGCACTGCAAAACACCTGTGGTGTTTATCAGGCATTGTCTTTGAGAATATTTTGTGTGCAGTATTATAGTTTTCTAGTGCATTTGCATACTGATGAAGACTAAAATAAATTGAGCCGATGTTGCTGTATACGATACCAGAGAAATAATTTATCTCTGGAAAATGTCTCTTGTATGTAGGCATGCAACAATCCCAAACTAGGAATGGCTGATCGGCACCGAACGGTTTGTTACCGAACATGTTCGGCTTTTACAGCCGAAAAATGGCCTAAATTCTCGTGTTGCTTACAAAAACGCTGTACCTATACCTCCGACAGGACTATAACTTTCGAATATTGTGAGACCACCCATCTCGATCTCGACCGTCCTAGGCGATCTTAGTTGATCGTGATTTTCTATTAAAAATTAATGTTAAATTGTACCAGGAGAAACCCAGATGTTGATTTCTTAAAATCGTGGTTTTAGTAAATTTCCAAAAAGGGAAACTTTCCCTAGGTCACACTCTAAATAAACGATGCACTATGTTCTGGGTATTACTAAAATACGCTAACATCCACTAACATCCACTAACACCCAAAATAATATGCCAGAATAATCACCATCCTTTTTGAGCATATTAGATCACTTTTGAAGATTAAGATTAAGATTTATTTACTAAAGAGCAGGATATCACAAAAAGAGAAACAAAATCTTGTGGCATCCGTGGATACCCTGTGATAACCTAAAACTAAAAATTTAAAAATATAAATAAGGAAATCTGATGAGAGCAGAGGTGGTCGGACCACTGAACTTTGGAGTGTGATCCTCCTGTATAATCAAAAATAATTTTTTTTCTCAATTCAAAATCACGTAGTTAGTGAATATTGTTACCTTTTCGTTAATGTTTTTCGCGGTGGAGTACACGAAATGAAGTTAATTTCGACGAAATATTATATCATAGCATTTGTTGACAAAGAATAGAGAAGAAGATTACAATATATATTTGAAAATAACTCATTTTTCTGTTCTGTTATTATAAAATATGTTTTCGAAGAAGAACAAAGAGAATT